AACCAATGTTTATATTTTTTCCGTTGGCCTTGATCATATGTTGAACTATAAGCATGAAAATATTCATAACAGATATTACTTTTTCCCATCAAATAATAACTGCGAAAAAGAACTTTCATATATGAAACGTGAAAATACACGTACAGTTTACGAACAGTTTACTAGTATCAATAATTCATTTAAACACTACAAATCACGAGCAGAGCAAATAAAGGCTTTTTGAAAACAGAGGTTGAATCAGGTGTCAAGAAGGAATAACCATACCCTGTCGACCGATCTGATTCGTGATTCTTTTCATAACCGGGTAAATGGAAAAAGTCAATGACAATTCAGTGTGTAACAATGGCCTAACAATTTATATGAAAGAAATTAACGACAGAATGTATATTTGCACACGAGGTCATTGTTTATAGCCTACAGATTGCAAAATGATGAATTTACTTTAAGCATTAAAGATTATTGATATTCTTTTGTAATAAACTTGTTTTGGTTTCACTTTCTACTTTGTTGGGTATGTCAGGGCATCAACGATAGCCGTTATGCATAAATTATTGCACGTTTTCATCTATCGTTGAAGTCCCTAGCATACCTTAAACTAGACAGTGATTCCTTATAATTACATGTACTTTAATTGTGAAATAAAAATGGTAAAATATAGATTTTAATGATGTCTAATAGATTTAAATTACACGAGGCCTCCCATTTCAATTTCAATAGTCCCTGCCCACTGACATCAGAGAAAAAGACACGAGATTTACATGATATTAGGCGTTCTTAGTTCCTAACCTTTCGCTCGACGAAATTACATTCCGGTTGAATTATAAAGAAATCAACTCACCTTACTTTCAAAGAATTGTCACACTGAAAAAAGGTAGAAATACTTTGTATCGTTTTTGAAATTGTTTGTACATGTTCTTACTTATCAAATCAACTATGAGACATAATTTCCATCGGCAGGTGATTATGGTAATATATTTACATTCCCAAATATTTTCCCATAATATTCTTTGCAAAATAGAAAAAAAGTTCATGATCTCATGAACTACTGTAGGATGAGTAAGAATATTTCCATTGTGATGTAATTAAAGAAAAAACTGCATTTTTTTTTCAAAAATGATCGTTGAATGACAAAAATATGTGGCAAGTCATCAGAAAGATAATGAAAATATAAGAAATGAATTTAATTTATAAGAATTCATTTGGTACATAAACTACGTTGCTCACACGCCTGCATATTTATCAAGAAGCGTGCTTTAATGAAATATGCCTGTGTGAGGTGTCATAGTTCATGTGCTAATGAATTCTGAAAAGTTGAATTCATATCTTAAACTAAAGCTATGCTGATGATAGAAAAGTAATTTAAATCATAAGTTTTATTATAAAGTGTAGATATTAGTTTTCAATCAATGTCTTTAATTCGATTATATATATCGAATCAACTTCAGAATGTAACTGGATTTTTTTAATTGATAAAATTTCATTGATATCTAAATAAATTTTATGATCTCAAAGATTGTAAAAGTAAATTTGAGTTTCATTGGAATAGTGTTTCACGCTATAATTTGATTTTTATCTAAAACAATTACTACAAGAACTGGTTTCATTTAAAACATAATTATTGGATTAGGATATTTGTATTTATTATTTTGGAAATTTACATTGAAATGTTGTATGAGAGGAAGACTTTATGTTTCTGAGATTGTGTCTGGTCCTTTTGACTCTTTGCCAATAAAATATGCCCAATTCATAATTTTGCTGACATTAAACATTTTACTCTGGTAATGAAATAAAAGTGCGAGACAAATTTTGTCTAAATAATTTTTTTCAGTTATTATGACTTTTATATCTCATCTTTCATTTATTTTTAACAATCAAAGTGAGACCTCACAGCAATGTAAGACTTTACTGGTTTTAAATGACAAACATGATTATTATGACTTTTATATCTGTTGTTATTAGACACATTTTTCATTTATTTTTAACAAAAATTTCTCGCACGCGAATAAAAGTTGGTTTACAGAAAATTTCTCACAGTAATGTTTACAGCTGTAAACCAACTTTTACTGGTTTTAAATGACATCGCGAATTTCAACCGGTCCTTAAAGTGTATGTGTCTATTAAAAACAGATCAAAAAGGCTATATTAATCGTAGAATAGTTTATCCGTGGTAAATCGCGAAATAAAGTCGTCGCGAATAAAAGTTGGTTTACAGTATATTATCTAGAATGCACAAGACGATTAATATTTCATGCTTACTGGAAATAACTCTTACCCTGGATTCACACCAGACAATCTGGGAAATTAAGAGTATTTTAAACAAATCGGTGTATTAATAGTTCAAGAACTGTTAAACATTATTACTGCTGTGAAGCAGAATTGCTTGTCCTACATGTAAGTTAGAAAAGATATTCAACTTCAACAGACTAGGAGCCGCGTTTGATCTAGATTTGTTTATTATTTTAATTAAAGAGTTTTGTCGATAGAAATCGACATCTTTAAGAACATGTTCAAAATTCAGCATAGGTTTGTTGTTCGTCTCTGCGTAGAGTAATGAATGATATAATAGCAAAGGCTTTACAGAAATAAGTTCTAATAACTTGGGTTTACCTTGGTGTTCATTGCGTTTGTTTAATATCTTCTGATATCGCTGATCACAAAAATAGGCTGACATTTTTGATTTAATATATCGCATGGAAAGCGTGGGGATACATAACGATGGGGTGTAAATCCTGCAGTGCGTCTTTTCATACAGTACGTCTATTACATTCTAGTACTCCCTTTTTACCACATCTCTTACTAAATGGATAGGAAGAAAATGATGAAAAAGTGATCGATCTCATTAAAAAAATAAACGATACACATCTGTGAACAGACCATAAGCACGAACTGCTTAAAATCCATACGTTCATGGGATCGGGTCCCTTGGAGGAGTAAGCATCCCCTGTTGACCAAAACCACCCGCTGTGAGCACCCTGTATTGATCAGGTAGTCATTTTGCATCTTCCATTTTACATTTTGCACAGCAAATGATGGGCACTACAATTTTTCTATGACATTGACATATAGATATTCCTCGATATTCTCATTCTGGTTTCATATTCGATTTTAGGAAAAGCCTTCAAATTTCTACATCCTGATGTGATGGTTATACATTATATGTCTTCGTTTCTTTATAATTATATGTTATACCCGGTATATTATATGCCACTGGTATTTCATTTTATGAATGAAAAGGTTTTGCATTACATGCTCAAAGTACATGTATTTAATTATAATGAGCTAGTTTTTTCATTATATGATGTTTGGTGTCATTATTATGAATGACTGTTGCATTTTATGCTGTAGGTATGTTATTATGATGAGGTACATACTAGCAGGTTTCAAGAGCATATACTGAAGAACCATCTCATCATAACGAAATACCCAAATCATGTAATCAAAAATCCCCTTATGGTAAGGAAAAAACATCAATAACAATAAAATACACCTCTTTATAATGGAATACCCACAACTTATAATGAAAAATCCACCTTATCATATTAGAAAAAACAAAGAATATAATAATGGAGGGGGTGGTTATTATATGCTATATCCTTATCATAATGTAGTACCCCACAACATATAATAAAACACACCTCATCATAATTTAGTACCATCACATGTAAGGCTATGGAACGTTCTTAATTTTTTCATCCATAGCATATAATAACCACCCCCTCCATCATCAAAATAGAAAAAAAATACACCTTATCATAATAAAGTACGCACAGGATATAAGCAGGAGATATATAACGTACGCTCAACGAGGACCTAATGGAGCGTACGTTTCTGCAGCACATATGTTAAAACATAATGAATTCTCATCACATTAACCGGTAAGGCTGTCATGGCGTCCCATCTATAATTGTTTTTTAACTCAATGTACATCTTGATATGGATAATTATTAAACAATCCTTAAGAAAATTATCGAATAATATGCATGCATTATTGATATATTGTTGACTTCACCTGTATAGCATATGTAAATATTCAATTTTTTTTGTCATTTTACATGTCATGATGAGACTCTTTGGCTTATATTCTTTGCAGAGAAATTTCTTTACGGTCTGGTCTCGTAGTAAGGAGGTCATGGCTTTTATGAATAACAAAATGTTATAATTATTTGGTTCATTGTTTTCATTAACTGATGACCTGATGTGTAGCTTGGATGCCATGCGATTGCACTCCGTTTTTCTGTCGTAAACCCATTGCTAGGACTATTGTTTTGATATTGGATATGTTTCATCATTTGTTAATTGGGACAGATCTGTTCTGGAACAGAAATGATCATCTGAAGTTTGTCTGTCACATAGTATTTAATTGACATACTGGCAATTCACCAAATAAAATAGGTGTTTCAATTTTGAGCACCGGAAAAAAATAATGTGTAGAAAGTTTTGGATGTATATCATTATCACTATTTAATTCAGTAATGCGTCTATATATATACATTGTCTTCAACCCATCAACATTTTATTTAGCAACACTTCACTATTTTAATATTTTTTTCAGAAATTTTTATAATTAATAAACACCTTTCATCTTGAAATCATTCATGTTTATTGTTTTGCATATTCTCTTACTATCTAAATCGTTGAGTTTTAGACTTTTATGTGAATTTTTTTCTTTCTTTTTTTCATTTTCAATGAATGTTTTGAATATTTTTTGCACATTGTAATCACACATTTACAAGATACTACCAATTGACCTGTCTTATCATTATTCATTATATGCTTTGTTCGTTTTTCTGTGTCTTTAGGTTTGGTGTGCACTCCCTCTCTTCTTGATAACTGTCAAAGTCTGCACAATAAAGGGCCGTCATAAATCAATTTCGTTTTATTATAAAAAGCCTCGTAGTTTCCTTTTAAAGGACACCTTCAAATTCGCTTATCAGTGAAGGAAATTCACCATGATAATGCGCATTTAATAGATGAAATACACAATTTTTCACATGATTTTTAATGAATTTTCGTGAATGGAAATGGAATGTATGCGACACAGTTTGAACACCAGAAAACCATTACATTTTGGACTTTGGCTGAAAATGGTTGGATATTCCACAAAGTTTGACAAAGCTTTTAACACTAAGTATATATATTGCTTATGTATTTTCTAGGAGACGAGAATCGTTTAAAGGTTGACTTTGTGATTAGTCTAAGTAATTTATAAACAAGAACACTACTGAAATAGAAATTAAGTAAAATTACAAAGAAATGTCAACAAAAAATATTTGAGAGAAAGATTGTCTACTTTTAAAATAAATTTAATTAATCAATTAATTTAAAAGTGTTTGAGAGAGGGATTGTCCATCCTAAACATCAATCTACACTTTATTACTGAAATCAAAATTTCACTTCATTTTGTTAAACAAGTCTCCTTTTACTTACGTAGATTTTCGTAAGATTTTAATCTAGTACAGAGGCCGTCAATGAAACTAAAAAAAAATCGATTTTCTCAATCGATTTCTTGCATCCACAAAAGACACACCTCTTCCTTAAACTGCAAGAGACAGTCTTGTGTTACTTAATCAAAAACAGTTTTAGTAATAAACCTTTCTAAGGGTTTGTATTCTTGGAACGTGTGCATTTTTTTCAATTAGAAAACTGAAGCATGACACAAAAAAAGTACGGGTTCATTCATTCATTGTATTCATTCATTGTATTTAACTGTCTAAATGATTGCATCATAAGCTAAGTCTCATGTCTGCGCGAAGGACGTGTTCCTCAAACCGGGAGATTTCGCGGTAAGAATAAATTTTTTCATGTCATTTTTAAAGTTATCAGATTACATTTTAAACTCTTTAAGCTTCATTTGGTTGATTATTTAAATTTAGAGAAAAAAACAAACAAACAAAGGCAAATCACTATAAATCGTGTCATGAACAATTACAATATGTTGTGTTTGCACTAGATATTTGCTTTTTAAAAAAAATCTTGAATTATACGTAAAAGAGTTTTTTCTTTATCACAAAATTATTCTTTATTTTCTTTATTGATTTGCTTTTCATATACTTGCAGTCATGCAATAAAACACGCTTTAGCATATACCTATTATTGCATCATCATTGTATTTTTTGGTACTTGCATTATACATTTTCTATTTAAAGTTAACATTTGTAAACTATTCATCTCTCTTTATTGGTGTGGATAATTCCAAGAAACTTTTGGAAAATTTGAAATAAAAAATATCAATTATAACCAAAATCCAAAATATCAAAACTTCTCAACTCAATATACAACCATTTCCCATGACATATTAAAGCCAAGGCTTTTTGACATCATTGACATCCACTTTTTAAATATTAACAAAAATGGTACTCGTCAGTTTACGTATTTTGTCATTGACCATTTGCAAAATTATTGAGTCATAAAATATTTTGATTGAACACACTATGAAGTTTATGTAAAAAGATGCTTATTAAGAGAAGAAAGAAATGATACCACTGTTATTAGACATTTTTGATTTCATATGAAGACATCTATTTTATATTCGGATTTTTTTTACTAGAAAAAGGCATTAATGGTAACCTAACATACAAGCTTTATGATAAACGTGATGACCTCAATTTTTCAATCGTCAACATCTATTACTTATGTAGCAATATATCTTTAAGCTTATTATATCTCTCAGTTGGTTCGATACACAAGAGCATGCTCTACAAACAATTTTTAAAACGGGGCGAGTTATTTACAAACGAGTTCACACACAAGCATAACAAAAGTCTCGTTTTGAATCATCATTTCGCATGTTCTATTCAATAATGTTGTCAGCAAATGATATCTTATTAAATCAAATTCTTGCGGACGTTTTTCATACTTATTGTTAGGCCATTATTTACACTATGAATTCTCTACGGATATTTCCGTTATTTTTCTATCATGACATGGAGCAAACAGTGGGTGTGATCGGTCTACAGGGATGCTCACTCCTCCATACCACCTGATCCAACCTTTGAAGTTTTAGAGTTCCGTGTTTGCTCTGCTCCTCATTTGTATGGTTTGAATGGGCTTTTCAGATCGAACACCGTTCGTTATCCCCACATATTAAATTACTAGAATATTACTCATTTGGTCTCCAAAATTTGCGTGTTTTTAAGAGATCATTTGTATTAGGAAAATCTGTACTTTTCTTGTTTTGAAAGGATAAATATTTTTGAATTGCAAAGAAAAAGAAAATTATGTTAATAAATGAAAATGACAAGTCCTCGATAAACTGGTCAAACAAAATTCACTACTCATTTTTTCTCAGAATATCTGTTTCTTATTTTAAGAGTTTTACAGTGAGTTACAATTCGACAGGATATGCCTATTCCACTTATACACTTGATCCCTTTCCTACACTTCCAGAGGTCACTGTGAATTGTTGTTTATCGAGCTTTTATTATTAATTACTAAATTGTTCAAAAGATCTCTGCTTGTCATCGTCATCTTTTCAGATTAAAACTGTATCTCTTTACGGATTTTCAATTTTTTGCAAATAAAAAAAATCTACACATATACAAATGTATAATGTCAAATAGAAAAAAAATATTGCAGCAATTTTTCCATCAGCAACGTCTGGAAAATAATTGTAGAATTTGGGGTCAATATTGTTCTAAGTGCCATTAAAGCTAGTTAATTAATTTAGGTATATACTTTACCATACATTTTGCACATATGAATCCTAGATCCTTAAGGAGTAAGTGACTCTTAACAAGTCTAAAAAGTACAGACGTACTTTTTAAGTATACATATATATATTCTAAATCAGTTTATTATCTGTGGTAACATTACCAAATAACAATTATCTTACTCACAGCTGTTTTCAATGAATGAACTATTATTTCAATAGTACATTCATCGATCTCCCAACTAAATATTGATTTCGAGACCTAAGGTTGGTTCCCCGTGGCAATCAACCCCCCACCTTCTCTCTCTCTCTCTGATTACTGCACAACTACTTTTTCTCATGCCTATCATTTTATTCAAATCACTTTAGTTAAAAAAGTGGATGCTATTAGAATATTATTTCAAGTGACAAAAATCAGCGATAATATATCTAAATGGATTCGACAGCTCGTTAGCATAAATCCTTTTAAAAACTTCTTTTTTATTGCAGAAAAATCATAAATTAAAATGAAGACATCTCGAACAGCTTTTTTTCTGCCATATCAGTTGCATAATAAATCATTCGGGTTTTTTTTTATATTCTAGAGAAAAAAAGTTAAACTGACACAGCTATGAATAGACTTCTGGTCCCTATAATAGATTTACATATGTTTGCACTATGATACAAGACACACAATGAAGTACATCATTTGATTACTTACTCTGACATTATCCCTCCCGCATAGATAAGTTATAGTTCTATTGAGTGGTTCATACTACATTAGACCTTGTTAATACTACATGTTACAAATGTATATAATTCAGCATAGGAATGTTTGATTCCTACCAACTGAGATAATTCTTTTCCTATTTAAACTCCGTATACCCGCAAGTTCTATATAAAGTTTGTGCATACTAGTTTTATTATTGTCCACGACACCTTATGTCTTTCACTTTATTCTTGAAGCTCTTTCTAACTTTTAATCAGAATTCGAATAGTTTGTCTTTCGGGATGTGATTGATGGTGTCCTTTGCAATAAGGCTTCAGAATTTCATTTTCATCCTTTTTTTCATTTGGATATAGGAAAACTATGGTAGAAATTGAAACTTGGTTTCAGGAACCAATCTACATTTTACTCAGATCTTAGCTGAAAAATCTTTTGAAATATCATTGAATGTTAAGTAAGCTTTTGGAATTTTCACATGGATGGTCAGTTTGGGGTCAAGAATAAGACATGTTTCTACTAGAAGCACGTTTCCAGAACTGTAATTACATTCTAAAGAGCTTCCATATAGCTTCAAGAATATGATATTTGATGTTCTGTAAATATGAAATAATGTTTTTGAAATTCCATTTTCACTTATAAGATCAATTAGAAGATGACAATTTTATTGCTTCTTCACTCAAAACCTTTCTTTCCAAAACCCCCTTTTTAATAATATATTCTTTTCTTACTAATTGTAACGTTATTATTTAAATGCTGCATTGTCTGTGGATGGCAGATGTGACCGGACGGTGATTACTCCTTCATGGCACCTGATTCCACTTCTGATGTTTTGCTCTGCCTCTAATTCATATTATTTGAATGGACTTTAGAGCTTGGTTTGTTGTTTGATTTTTGGTTTTTTTTTTTATTTCTTTTTAGAATCTAAATCAATCTATTCTAAAAATTGTTAACTTTTTCCCCATATTTTTTTCTGGATATCACGTTTCTGCGATGTATGTTTAGCGTTTGATAAATATGCTATACTCCGCTGTGTTCCTGCATCCCGTATGGCTTTTGTAACCCTTGTAAAACAATACCGACTTCCTTTCTACATGTTCCCTTGCAATTATCTATGAAATCAACATACAGTCTTTGAAGTCTGTAGGAATAAAAAACTTCGCAAAAAACGAGAGTACACAAAAGATGGGCTTAATGATAGTAGCATTATTTTTAAAGAACTTTTTCGTAGTTATGAATGAAGTAAAGATGCGTAATGCGTCACGGCTCGGTGCAGTGTCTCTTACCTTGCTCACGTGTGCTGATTGACGGTTCTTCATTAATAAACAAGCATATTAATTGCTATATTGTTCAGGTAACAAAGTGAATCTTGACAGTATAGCTTTTTCTTCGGCTGGAGATGCCCACAGATGAAAAATTGTTCTTTCTAGCATGTTGGGGTCTCTTTTATACGCCATGCATGGGTAGAGATACATTTGTAAAATAACAAAGCTACTGCAGGCTGTCAGCTAAATAGAAACCCCACCGTACATCTCCTAACAAAAACTCATCAAATCCATTTCAACAAAAATAAGAAATAAGATATGCCGTCGATTGAGCGAAGCGTTGTCTAATTATAACTGCAACTTGTATTATTTTTTATTTCAGATCTGGTATTGAAAATCGTCAAAGTTTCCACAAAAATCTGCCGAAGTGTTCCCAAGACGATTCTATAGTTTCTTACGGACATTACGATACATTAGCTAGAAAACATAGATGTTTAAATTGTTGTGACAGAGAAAAAGAAAGGAGGAATTGGTCAGACCGATCTTATAATACTCAACAAAGTCATCATAAAACTAATAAATCGTGTATAGAAAAGTGGATTACATTTATACAAAGTTCTAAAATGGTTCGTCTAGGAGGAAGGATTCTTTTATTTGTTATTTTAGTGTCAGTGTTTGGAATTATATTCGGAGGTTCTTTTTCTTCAAGAATCAGTGACTCGGACAAAATTCATCTCGGGGAAGGAGCAGCAAAATTAGTAATGGTATGTATTTTAACGAATTTCTGCTAAAAGAAAATATATTTGAAGAAAATAATGAATTTTTTTAAAACTTACTTCCAAATGGATTCAATTTAAAAAAATGATTTTGACCTTTTAAGGATGTTTGTTTATAGAAAAAAAAAATAAACCAATCGTTAGAATCTAAATTATAAAAAACATTTTTATGAATTTGTTTGGAAAATTTGTTACAAATCAATTTATTTTCATGTACAAAAAAACTGCATTAATTAGCAATGTTTTGAAGAAGAAAATTTGAAAAATAAAAAAAATCATATAGCTTTTGCGTATCACTTCTTTGATAAACAGAACATCAAATTACACAATCTGAATGTTAAAGATACGCTTAGAGATCTACTTATATCTATATTTAAATAAAACTTAGAGACCACTATCTTGTTTTATTTTTTTATCATATGCAAAGCAGAGTATATGACTCAGCTGATGAATATTAGGTGCAATCTTTGCAGTTCCTGCTATGTCCATTGCAAGATTAAATTATTGCAATTATTTATGTAACAAAATTAAATATTTCCCGTTAAGATATGTGCAGACAGGTGCCATTTTCTGTGAATTGTCAAATATTTATGCTAAATGCTATCATAAATGTGACTAAGCTACAAAACTTTTCCAAGTTTGTGTTATTCTTGGGTGATGAAATTGTAACTTAGCCTGATTGCATAACGATGATCAAAGATTGAAAGGCAAAACATCAAATAAAAAAAGGAAAAATTTGGACAAACAGGTGCTTACATTGATTAAAGCGATATATTATTTACTTGATTTCAAATCAGTTTGATATTTTCTTTATTGTTTTCATATTCGTCTTTATTACATTTCCCTTTGTTTTATCCCTCTTCATTTTGCCCTTACTTCTATGTTGCTTTATTCTTGTAAATTCATTCTACTTTCTTTTAAACTAAACAGTTTCTTTAATAAATTATTAGCATTATCTCTACTACGAATGTTAATTCAATCACGCTAACAATGAAGCATATTCAATGAAGACGAATGGAAGTTGTCAAACCGTCAAAATTTAGTGCGGCATATAATGTTCATAAAACTAGGTCACTGTTTTTGCTTTATCAATCTATGCACTTTACCAACCGGATAAGCTTTGAATTTTGAGAGAATCATGAATGGTTTAATTGATAATATTTTTTTAACCTAAGTTCATGCAACTACTCATCTTTTGATAAAACTTAAAAGTGTTAATGTGATTTCTAAATATAATACATATCGATGTAATCTCTGGCTAATTCTGAAATAAGGCACGATTTCTAAAGCATCTATCTCATAAACAAGGGAAAAAATAATATTTTTGTCATCTTTTGCGAAAGCATTTAATTGTTATAAAAATGTTAAATATTTTGATACTAGTTAACCCTTATAAATTGGGTTGTTTTTCAGAACCTTCCACTGAACTGAACTTTATTTCACGACAGATAAAGTAACTGCTGATGTGCGTGATACAAGCATAAAAAGAAGAAAAAAATCTAAGCTTTTTCCAGGGGGATTTAAATGGAAGGCGAAGAAAAACACCCCGGTAATATTTTATATTAAAATAGCACTTTTCAATAAAGACAGAAATATCTTTAGTACGCACCGTGTTTGTCATCAACCAGGAGAGCTAAAAAAATCTTAAAACTCGAAACTTTTTTCAGAATTTTTACTCATATGCCACTAAGTACGTGATTTTAATATATAAATTGCTATTAGAACAAAAAGTTTGCATTTACTTTTATGTTTTTGTATTCATAGTATTTATATTGAGACTTTGGTGGTGTGATTGTACCACTCAAATGGAGAAGCCACCTCTTTTTTTTACGTACAAGTAGAACTTTTAGCGAGACGCAAATCTAGTTAACTAAAGTATTAAGGCAGAAAATTAAAAAAACTCGAATAACCCCGGCACGGGTTTGCTTAAATTTTACCAACACTCTTAGATGCCACCTAGCGTTATAATGCGGCACTAAATTCGGACAACTTGTATTCGTCTTCATTGAATATGCTTCATTGTTTGCGTGATTGAATTAGCGTTCGTTATAGTTATAATCATTTAAGAAACTGTATCAATTTAAAAGAAAATTAAATGAATTTACAAGAATAAAGCAAAATAGAAGTAAGGACAAAATGCTTGTAAAAAGATATAAAACAATAAAGTGACATATAATTTGATAACAAAGCATAAAGAAGTAGAAATTAATTTCAAAGATTAATATTAATTTCAAGCGGGAAGTAATTTTAGCGATTAATCGCGCAAAGAAAGATAAAGTAACCTTTAATTATAAGGAATAAAGTGATAATGATATCTTATTTTCGCGATCTCAATTACTTCGCGATAATGCCAAAATTGAATCCTCAGTAAAGTTTCTGCATATACATTATTCCTTGATAATGTACATTGTTTTGTGAAATATCATAAAGTTCTTGCATTGTTCTCTGTTTAATTTAGTTTTATGAAATCTTTTACAGCACAAAATTCAGCCAGTGGGATTAAGAGTTTTTCACGAGCACGTCAAAAATGTGTCGAAACACGGTATGCACAGTTACCGTGATATGTTAAGAATATTTTTCAAAAATCCAAGTGACCAAGAAATAGACTTGTTTCTTAAAAGAAAGACTTTAAAAGACATTCTACCTGAAGATGACTTCTCAAAACGAGATTACAACTACGTCAACGACGAACCTTATTACCCCTTCGATCCGTTAGACCGTAAGTACTTATAAATCGACCTAAGTTATGTAAACTGATTGTATGCATATTTCATTTCGTCAGCTCCAAAGTTAACTTAAATGCAGGACGAAAAATTCAAATGTAAGTAATGCTTCTTCTGAAAAGGTTCAATTTGTCTTTTCAGAATAGTGTTATAAACTACATCTTAGCATTTCAGAGAGAATGTTACGATCATAGCAAACAATCTATAGCAATTAATGCATGTGCATGTAGAATTAGATAAAAATCTTTGGTATGACATCTAGAAATATGATTTCCATGCACGTTTTTACCGTCTGACATTAAAAAAAGATACATTAATTCGATAAGTAGCAGGTCATGGATGTTAATTCCTTCAAGTAAATTGCAGTTTACTCATTTCTATTATTAATTTCTTGTCCTACATTATTCAGTTAGACCCTGTGTAAATGAGAAGAATGAAAAAGGTGTAGGTCAATAAATGGAACTCTTGTTGACCCCTAGGATAAAACTGAATGTTTCTTGCATTAATTTATTGATTTGTACTGTACCAAGTTTCGTTTATTTCAAGAAGATAATGGTTGCCCTCTTAAAGATCGTATCAAAATAGTTATCTTTTGGCAGAGATGTTTCTTAAAGTTCAAGGGCAAACAGCAATGGTTTTCCCCATGCGAATGCCATTAGTTATTGTGAGCAGAATTCGTACGGACATTGCATCATAAAAAACGAAGCCCCTCGTTGCGAAATAGGCTCGTTACAAACGAGCATACCAGACATCGCATATGTAATGTCATTGCACCATTAGCATGAATGACAAGGAACAGACGCGGCGTACATCATTCTCTTCTTATCAAATTTGGAACTTTTTGAAGTTTACAACTGTCACCTGTCACTCACGGGTGGTGGAATAAAAGGGAAAGGTTATATTTAAGACGAGATAGCATTGAAATTTAGCATATTCTTCAAAGCTTCTCGCGGGAGAAACTGTGATCCTTTTGACCTTTTGTCTGCCTCTGTCGGCTTACCAACTGAACCCGCCACCGCAACATTAAACTAAAGACTCTGATGAGCGCAATCTTTTTTCAAGCTGCGAATCCAAAAAAAATCAGATTTCCGTGATCCAAAAATCAATGTTTGCACTCATAATCAATATTTGATGTATGCTGTGATTGTAGCATTGCGTACGTTTAAATTGCATAACAAATGTTGTCAGAATTTGAAAGTATATATATTATTCATTCATTCAGATTAAGAATTCAACTTCATAAATTCGTTCTGGAAAGGCAGTTGATGATTCCAGGGAATATGTTTCTTCTTGGTCTCTTCGTAATAATACTATGTAAGGTATTGATGCTTACCATTACAAGACATTTGTTTTATTTTGCCTAATATTTTGAAACTCAATTATTTTAACAGTTGCTGACCAAGCTGAGCAGCATTATACACATGTATTAGACCACCCATATTCATCCTGTCATGAACCAAAACCGGAAGTGATATACATTCCACCGGAAGGACATAAGAAGTTCATTCCGGAATATACTATTCTTCATCGATGTAGAAATACCACCGGATGTTGTTGGGATAAATCTCAGACTTGTGCTGTCAAAAACCTGGAAATAGTCACACGAAGTTTTTTCGTAAGTAAATTCTCATCACCGGATCTTTGTTGTCATACTGTATGTTTTAGAATTATTCGAGGTCTGAATACAAGATTTGCAGTGAAAAAAGCATCGGAGCTACTCTTATAGCGCACATTCTCACGTCTAGCAAACTTACCTCAGATGTGATCAGGTTTAAACCATTTAAGTTGTAGCTTTTACATTCGCTTGATCTAATCCGAATTGCTAAAGAAATGATATTTCTTTGATTTTTAATATAAAATTCCTTCATGGTAAGTCCATTTCTATAAGTCTACTTACAAATACTTCGAACAGAGGGAACAGAGGGATATGATTAAAATAAATATTCATGGAGGTATGAAAAAGCTTGTTTTTGGCGGAAAAAATGCATCTAGTAGATGCGTACACCTCCACCAGTCGCATCCGATGTTTATATGGAGCGAAGCAGAGTCAATCGAGGGTTACCAGTGAAATATATATTGAGATAACGTAATCCGAGATTCCTCTGACTCTAACCCCCGCTTTTATATTGTGACTTGTGCGGGGGAGAGTCAGAGCGGACTCCATATTGAAAACTGGGAATCTGGCGAAACCACCTGGTATCGCTACTCTGCCTACCTTTTACAACTTTATTTCGCGGAGCTAACTCCCGAGACGCGAGAAATCAATAAAATAATTATTTTTCTACTTGTTAATTGTCATTAAAAGGATGCTCCCACCGTTTCAACAGCCCTATCACCGACAAATGAAGCATCACTTGAACTAGGTCGCCTCCTCGCCATTCGACTGCTTTGCGCATGACGTCAGCACACAAATACACAAAATTCCAGTCATTTGAAAGTAACACGTGCTCAAACCACGTGTGGGGCTTTCGGAAAAAATATGAAAGTGTTGTGAAAATACATATAAAATAACATAATGATGTTTTATTTATTTATTGATAAGGAAACCAACGGTCAAAAACGACTTTTATGCTCATATGAGGTTTAAAACACCACACATAATATTTTCACGTGATAGTTTGTTTGTGTATTTGTGTGTGACGTCATGCGCAAAGAAGTCGAATGTCGAGGAGGCGACCAAATTCAAGTGATGCTTCATTTTTCGGTGATAGGGTCGTTTAAACGGCGAAAGCATCATATTTATGACGATTAACAAGTAGGTGAATAATTGTTTTACTGATTTCTCGCGTCTCGGGAGTTGGCTCCGCGAAATAAAGTTGTAAAAGGTAGGCAGAGTTCCGACACTAGCTGGTATCGCTGAATTGCCACTTTTCAATATGGCCTCCGCTCTGACTCTCCCCTGCACAAGTCACAATATAAAAGCAGGGGTTAGAGTCAGAGGAATCTCGGATTAGAGATAACGGAGAGTATTCAAGCTCAAACGTCCATTAAACAATACAATTTTTGTAGCAGAGTAAACATGGACCTCTAAAAAATCAGACGTTGCATTGGGTGCAATTGAGGAGTAAGCATCCCATGCCGACATGACACCCCCCGCCTGTGCTCCTTGTCATGATCTTGAAATAAAGGAAAATCTATCGACAAGTCAGTGTATGAATAATGGTCTAACAATGAAAAACATCAATCAGCATTTGATTTGATAATAGATTGTATTCATTGACAATGTCATATTGTATCGACCATAAAAACTTAGGAAATGATGACTTTAAACGAGACAACTGATATTCTTGTTTCATCAACTTGTGTGTCGATAACCTATCGTTTTTGAAATTGTTCATACGTACAGCATACTCTTGTGTATGGAAGCAACTTGAGATATAAACCCCAGAAGTAGGTGATAAAAGTTTATTGCTGCATAAGTAAGAAGAGGTTGACGATTGAAAACTTAAAGTCATCATAAAGCTTTGTTGTTAGATTACCAGTAAGTTTTTTATTAAAATATGAAACAGATATGTCAGACTCTGTGAAATCTATTTCTTCAAGCTCACAGGGATATATCGCATCGACAAAAACATTGTTAATGGACAATATGTGGTCAAAATACAATGTACATGTATTTATATGTCGAGTTGAAGGCCACAGTGTTTTCTTCTTTTTACGTATAAGATTTTGAACAAATTCTGCTTCGCATGAATGCAAAAATAGGACTGCTAAATAACGGACGAAAATGCAAAATAATATAGAAATAATTATATAATATTTTATGAGCTTCAAAAGAGAAGATCAACATATACAATTTCGTAATTGTTATTTTTCAACTAAAAACATACTTAGCGTTCGGTTAATTGTTATCCAATTATTATGCAATTATATTGATTTATGAAGAACTTATTTTTTGTTTGATACAGTACCGTATAAGTGGAAATTTTAGCGAGACGCAAATTTAGCGATTTCTCCATAAAAATCGGTATTTTATTTTTAGCGATAAGTAATTTTAGCGATTATAAAATGCTCACTAAAGAAGCTATTACAAATAAAATGCAATTAAAATTAGCGATATTCAATTTTAGCGATCTTAGCACCCTCGCTAATAATGCCAAAATTAAATCCTCGCTAAAAATTCTACTTATACGGTATATATTTAAAATTAAAATGTTTGGGCTGACGGACTAGAAGTATATCGCAGTGAAGTCATTTAGAATTTTAACCCGCGTATAAGGTTTAGCATGCTCTAAGTATGAAGAATTTCTAGACCTATAATATCTACTGACAATCAAATTGGTGATAAAGGATATCAACGTTCACATTTAAATCACTATTTCAAAAAATTCAATGATCGATACCACGGCCTTGTTTACAAATATGTTAAATATTTTGTTAAACCCAATGCTATCTGGCATTCTTTCTGTAAATACACTGAAACTTTTTTTTCTTTATTTAATTAAGGTCTTCCGTCTTAACGGAAGACCTTATAGCGATTCTATTGTTTCTTATTATTATTATTATTATTATTATTTTTCTGACGCAATTTCTCAAAGACTACTGGATGGAATTACATGAAATTTTCAGGACAGATGTGTTGTTGAATGGATTTGATACATCTGAGAGATTTTTTGGAAAATCGCTTCCGGTGCCAAGTTACAGACCTTTTTCTGATTTTTAAAATGACATTTTGTCTACAGATTTTCTCAAAAACGGTTAAAGATATCAAGCTGAAACTTTCAGAGATTATAGATGATGATAAATACTATCCAGGACGCCACATGTCGTTCGTCGTCATTACTTCCGGTCGCTACCGGAAGACAATTTAAAAAGTCCAAATTTTCAACTTTTTTTGTTTTTCAATATTTTTCATTTCTTTTTGGTATGTTAATAGAAACCTTTTTTATAATGCTAACTATAGAATTTGTTTGAATATTGATAAAGCTTAACTGTAGATATTAGTATTTTAAAATCTGAAGCGGATCCAAGATGGCCGCTCTCTCTGTCAACTCCGACATTTCGCAATAGGGGTTTACTGAGGCAGCCGAGCGTTTGCTTGAACGAAAGTAACACAAGTAGAGCTTTTTAAAAAAGCTTACCGTCTTTAGCAACAATCTTAAACAATAAACTGATCTACACCTATCAGGCTGTTTAATTCTTTTGAATTTTGTATTTCTACGTTAGCTTTTTACTGGCATTATCCCTACCACGGTTGTCGCTCGGTCATCTCCGTAAACTTTGACTGGCCGAGAGCTTTCGGCAAACCTCGGCTGATTCCATTCCCTTCTTCAAACAAGAAAGAGGAAAAGAATAATAACAAATTGTAAAGCTTGCAAGCAATAAAGAGCAAATTTTATTTATGATGGAATTAGAGACCTTTTTATTTATTGCTATAAGAAATACCATGTTATTAAGAATTCAATACTGCTGATTTTGTTGTTCGTTTTGTCATTTTTTTAAGATTGAAAATCTTGCAAAATTGTTAAGTCGTACGAAAATTAGATCATCAGAAAGTTATCTCCCTTGCTTTGAACAGCATTTCAACCAATGAAATAATTGAAAATTTTTTCATCATGCAATTTCTACCAATCACAAAAGAGAGGAAGTGCATAGTCCGAAGACTGTAAAAAACTTCAACTATACAATACCGTCTTCCAAGGAAGACGGTAATAAGGAGAAATGAAATGTAAAGGAATACTTGGATTGTCACGTCGTAGTTACGTTGCAATTCTGTGTCAAACGAAGTTCTTCCTAAACGTATTCTATAATTGGTTTTGGCTGGTTCTCAAAGTAGAAAAAGAAAAGACTAAATGTGCAAATGAAATTCGATACCTAATATCTTCTAATTTGCACCACGGAAAAAACAGATTTTTAATAATCGTTATAGGTAAGTTTTTCAAGAAAGAATGTCAATGAATACAGTAAGTATAAAACTTACCCACTTTTTTCCCATGCACATTTGTGCCATATTAAACTAATAGAAAAGACAAAATAAGATAACCATTTCTTTTTTAAAGATTGCTTCATGGATTTTATATTAAGATTATTGTCTCAAAGATCTTATTCAAGTTTTTCAGCACAAATGGTATCCAATTCCTTGATCGTCGTAAGGGGAGCCATGTTTTTCGGCGATACGTTTCAATCTCATTATGAATGTTTAACTAATCGGGATAGTTTACTTTGGCGATAAACAGGAAATTTGAAAACAAAAAAAGAAGATAAAATTCATAGCCGTTTCACTGCTTTAGTGTTACTAGCTTACATACTATATGGCATTGTAAAATGTGTTAAATATGCTTTCTAATCGTCGAAGTTTAGGCTATATGAATGTTTTTTTTATTTCGTTGAAGCTATCACAATAGAACATTCCAAAAAAAGGCGCAAAGTTTAACTCGTGGCGTTTGGCGCAAAATTATGAATAGTGACTAGCCTTCCATAATTCTAAGACAAAAGCACTGTTATACAGAGATATATACAAAAAGATTAAGAGCAGAGGTCCGAATAGCGTAATATTTAGCGAATTGGATTTTCATGCTCGCCACTTGGATTCAATCCCCCTTGTGTGCAATATTTCTTTTCACTTTTAAACCTCGAATTTTCGTTTTTTTTTTTTGGGGGGGGGGGGGGAATACACTGAAGACCTCTCGTTGCTCGCAACGAGATCGTATCTAGTTTATTAATTTATTTTGCTGAAGGAGGTTAGGGTCCTCTTGATCTGTCTTGATAAAATATCTGTTTATTTACGTTTATACTTTTTTCACACTTTATGTTCTGACACCAATATGTGTCCATATTTTACTTTTTAATAAATACTAGCATAAGTAAAATTCTTGTCTTCGTTTTATTAATTTTGTTTACGCTCATATTGCATTATATAAGGTCTTTTTTTTTTGCTTGACCATCAGAAAGGTACACAATATTAATCTTTTGTCAAAAATGGGTGTACATATAATTTTTTTACTCGTAAGTAATGATATGTGCTATTTATTCAACATTAGTGCTTCATTATAGCACGAGGAGTAATTTTGTTGTAGAAGATAGGATGTTGTGTACTGGTTAAACTATATTTTTGATGAGAAATGACAAATTGGTATTTGATTTAGTTAATTTTACTTGCTGAGTAATCTTTACTTAAGCAGAAATTGCTCTTATAATTAACGAGTTAATTATCTTGGACAGGTGGTAGACATGCTCTCTGATGATACAATCGTACCAAATGAAGTAGAGCAACAGTTTCTCATTAACCATACATCGTGTCATTGTCAACTGATTAATCCACAACCAGGGTAAGGAAACTGAAAAAAATACTCCTTTCAAAGAACAAATTCTTTATAAAACAATATGACTAGGTGACATATCTGAACGTTTTACATTAAAGATGACATGAACTCTTTTTGTAGATGTGATCAACAATGTCCACATCCATTCCGAAAGGTTAGAGTAGGGGACACATGCACGTGTGAATGTCGACAAGACAGACTGCCGTGTCTCGAGATCAAATGGGGAATCGAACCCTTAAGCACGGAAAGTTTCAAGTAAGTATTTCTTTTACAAGTATTTTTTTTTTTATAAAAATGAGAGAAAATTTTGTTATATTATGAAAAGAAGGCCGGAATTTTTGGTAGAATGCATTGGTTAACCACAACACACTTCGGAAGGATTTTTTTTTTTGGTTGATATATTTTTGCTGAAGAATGTTGTATTAAAAGTAGTTGAGTTCAATATGCATGACTTGTATTTTTTGACTCGTGAAATGTGCCAAATGGTGATTTGTCAAACGGTGATAATAACTGAAATATCTAACATTGAAAGTTACTTAACACGACTTTGAAATCCTCGATATAAAACATTACTTTTTAATTATTTTTTAGTTGTGTTAAAGAAAAACGATGTATGCAACCAACATGCCAAGATGGACAGTTTGATATGAGGAAAGGGTTTTGTCCAGGTACAAATGAGCCATATCCGTATAGGAAACGGCGGAATGTCCAAAGGTAGACGATGACGTCACAGCGTGTTACTGCCTACCTCATCACAAGTCGTAGTCACGTGACTAAAAAATACCTTCATTCATCAAAATTGTGTTCCATAAACTATTTATTTATTATATTTCATTTTCATTAGCACAAACAACGCTGTGATGAGTCTAGTCAACAGACATGCGCGAAGTTACAAGTGCCAAAGTTTTCACGTGCCTCGACGCGCGGTGAAAGAAGCGGATCAAGTCCGTCAAAGCTACACAGGGTTCTAAAGCTGAAATCTGCATTTGTGTTTATCTAATCAAGATTTTTAATGGAGCTTTTCGTAATTATTTACTTAAACTTTATACACGTAAGACAAAGATCAGCTGATGGATGATATTCTGCCTGTTCTAGAAGAATCAACCCATGGACTGAATATTGAACCATACTGTCCCTCATAAACAGTCCCACAACCTCTAATGCGTCTAGGGAATAATATTTGGTTCATTCACTCAGACGTTGATTTGAAGGTCTGATCTCAGGATTAAAGAAAAGAAGGAAACACTGTAAGAATTCTCGTCATAGATATTACAGGACACTGTATTATTCCGAACAGAAACTTCACGAATTATTGAATCTCACGATACTTATTACTCTCGAAGAAATAGTCCACGATATATGTATACACTTTTACGTTTCGTATTGTAAATTTTGTCTTTGATGTCTATATCTTTTTATCTTAAGTGTAATTCGTTTAGTTTGTATATTTACGAACTGTAAATTAAAAGATAGCATAAATCATGAGATTATTCCATAAGTTTTGATCACGTGATTTTCTTTAAAATAAAAAAAATCAGATCTTTTGATACAATCATCATTAATTGAGGCAATTCATTATTTTTCAATTAGACAGGAACAGATTATACATCTTGTTATAATTCTAATTTTTTATGCCCCATAAGAAGATTCGGGTGTGTTTACATGTAGTATAGATCTGTCTGTCTGTTTATCTACAAGAACTTTTACATTGCCTATAACTTTTGATTGTTGGAGCTATCATGGCTCTCATATTTCAAATGTGTATCACTTGTGACAAGAGGTAGGAAACAAAATAATTGACCTCTTGACCTTGGAATTTTGCGAGAGTTTACTCAACTTTGACTTGCTTTTGAACAGATGGTGCTAGGACTTTCATACTAGTGCTTCAAATAATGTGCATTCATTTTAGACCTTTTCATGAATATTTTTTTGATATTTGATCTTGACCTTTGAGTTTGACACACTTTAAACAACTTTAAGCTTTGGACATAATTTTTAGAACTAGGGTCTTCATATTTCTCAGGTATATCCCATGTGAAAAGGTCTATCCTTTGGGTACCAGCAATTCTGACCTTGATCTTTGACTCTCCTCTGATAATTTAAATTAACATTGGTCATAATTTTTGAACAGTTGGTGTTGGGACTTAAATAATTCATATGTGTATTTCTTAATTGACAGGGTACCTTTTAACTTGACTCTCCGGCCTTTCAGTTTAAAACACATTTCAAAACTGTAACTTCGCCATAACCTTTTAATATTTAGTTCTTGGGCTTTCACATTTTTTTTCGTCCGTTTTTGACCTACAATTGAGAAAATTCAACCTTCGCCAAAAGCTGTCGATCAAAAGCGGGGGCATCAGTGCTTCACAACCACATCTTGTTTCTTTTTTTGAATTGACAACCTTTTTTAACAAGATAAAATAAATGATATACAGGAGAAAAATCATGAGTTGTTTCTTTCTAAGTAAATTTCCTTTAGAAAAAGGAAAGATCTTGAGAAGAAAATGTCTACTTAAAAGTTTTTTTTAAATTTAATATGTCTGTGTCAAAGAAAAGCGGAACCAGAGACGGGGTCCTGGATCCCCTGAAATTTTCAAAGTAAATGTAATTGAATTTGTATTCTGTCGTCTTAAAGAAACACAGATTTTTCAATTACAGACCTCATCTATCAGAAGAAAATTAACTTAGAAAAGTGTCATTCGTCACCTACCCCCCCCCCTCCCCACACAAACACGAAGTTAGGGCAAGTTGTCATTTTGAAAATCTGTATACTATTCAGTGAGAATAATAGCCTCCTTTAATTTTGTGATATAATAACAATTTTTATGAAAGGCGTCAGTTTAAAGAGTTTATATCTGCTAACAAGTTCATTATATCGACCAAAGAATTTGTAAAATGCTGACTTTAAATGATGCATCTTTCAATCATAAACTTATTTGTCAATAGCCTCCTCCTGCGTATCAAATCAACTTTGAGATAATACCATACGCAGGTACCCACATAAGGAAATGACGTTGACGATTTGAAAGTTGTAGATAAAACATATGCCATAAAACCCAGAGTTTTCAGAACTGTTTTCCTAGTAAATGATCCAAATTTATTAGAAATGTGTCAGAATTTTGTCAATTGATAAAAACGTCGTACATATATTTAAATGTCGAGTTGAAGACTCTAAGAAGAAGGATATGGAGATAACGAACAGTATTCAATCTCAAAGTCCATAAAACAATACAAAACAAGAAAACATTGATGTAACCATCAATTGTCGCCCGGGAAATATATAAAGTAAACAATGGAAATGACCTTTGATCATCAAACCGCTTCGATACGTGTGAAAAGGCATGCGTCTAATTGATGGAGACGATAGTCGCGAATATTTGGAAAACTTATAGTCGGATAAATGTCAAACAAAAACGATACCATTTTAAACTTCAATTCCTCGAGTAAATGTTGGCTGCATAAAATATAAATTGAAGGTAGACACATGCATCACCTATATTCAAAAATGTATTTAATTTTCAATTTTAGAATATAAAACACGAAGTGTGCATAGTACGTTTTTATGCGAGAAGTAAAATTCGATGATCTAAAAAAGGGGACCTGTCGTTTTTTCGATAGTAAATGATAAACAACTTTATATATTAAATGTGAAAAACATATCTATTTTTAGAGAATCACTTTATGGAAGTAAATATATTATGTATCTCGTAATTTATAAAGGGAAAGAACATTCTGATTAACAATCTTTTCAATGTTTAGAAAACCTTTAATTTTGAATAACTACTCCCACCCCAATCCCCATATACCAACACTTAAACTTATATGTATAGAGCAGCCCGGTCCTCCGGGCTGCAATAAGAGCAGAGCAAATACGGACCCCCGAAACATCAGAGGTGGGATCAGGTGCCATGGAGGAGTGAGCATCCCCTGCCGACCGGTCACACCCGCCGTGTGCTTCTTGTCATGATCAGGAATAACGGAAAAAATCCGTCGTCAATTCAGTGTATAAATAATGGACTAACAATTGGTATGAAAAACGTCAGTCAGCATTTGACTCAATCATAAATTGTATTTGCTGACAAGGTCATTGTATCGACCATAGAACTTACGAAATGATGACTTTAAACGAGACTGCTGATATTCTTGTTTCATCAACTTGCTTGTCAATAATTTACCTAGTTTTATAAATTGTTCATACGTAGAGCATGCTCTTGCGTATCGAATCAACTGAGATATATATACTCCGTATGCAGATGATGAAGGTATACTAATATTGCTGCATAAGTAAGGGAAGTTGACGATAGAAAAGTTAAAGTCATCACGTGTATCATATAGCTTGGTTGTTAGATTACCATTAGTGTCTTTAGAAGATACGTATAAGTTTTTTAAAAATAAATTCTGTTTTACTTTAATACATAAAAATTGTGAATAACGAGACAAAATTAGTATCCCGGAAAGTCAAACAGATTGTTGGCATATCTGGTCTCCTAAAACCACATATATGTATACGTTGTTAGCGAGAAACTCAAGCATCTACATTTAGACCAGAATGCATATTTTAAAAAAGATGCATTTTGTCTAAAATAAATTACAGGTTTGAAATTTTACTTAGTTCTTATTTATTGATCAAAATAGACGCTTGTTACTTTTTTTAATAAATGAAATATGGCGAAAACAAAGAGAATCCAAGCTCATAAATCTATTCAAATAACACATTTACAATGCAGAGAAAAAATGGTCCTGTAAAATATCAGAGATGGGACCAGATCCCAAGGAGGAATGACCATTCCCAGCCCGCTGGTCCAACAGTAGGGAAACAGGATAAATCCATAGATAATTTAGAGTGTTAATGATGTCACAACAATTTGTATGAAAAAAGGCAGTCAGAATATTTAACTCAATGATGGCATTTGCAACAGACTATAGAATTTGCAAAATCATGACCTTAAACGATACTGCTGATATTTATATCTCGTCAGCTTGTTTATCAGTAGCTAAGGCTTGCTCGTTTTAGAAATTGTTTTTCGTTAAAACTTTTGCTTTATTCTATCGAATCAACTGAGAGACATAACCCCAAATGCAGATGTTAAGGGTATATTGCTACATAAATAAAGGAATCTGACAAATGAAAAGTTGAATTCATTATGTTTATCATAAAGCTTTACTGTTAGGCTACCATTAACATCTTTTAGAATTAAATATCTAAATACCGGTATGACACAGATGTGTCAGACTCTGAAATATCTTTCATATCAAATTCACTGGGATATATCGAGTCGAAATATGAATGGAAGTTACTCTTGATCGTTGAGAATATGTTGTCTATACATCTAAGCCACAGCAACTATTTTCTTCTCAAGTATAAGAATTTGGTATAAATTTTGTATAAGATCTTCATTTAAATACAGAAATGGGTCTCAAAATGAACATTTAAAAATGAAAATAAATAAAATAACTTTCACCAGACTAAAATTCACTATATTATCTGAATATAGAGTCATCTAAATTATCTATAATGGTCAGAAGTAATCTTTGAGAATTTTAAAATCATAGTTTTTACTTTTTTTACGTATTTGATACAAAAGAAAACAACTGGACGAATAAACAGATCCTAGAAACAACATACAAACGTCCTTCTATGATCAGGAACAATACAATAATATACTTGGAGAGAATATTATTATAGTATTCTTTGGTATACCTTTCACGTATTTT